TAATTTATTTATGTTTTGTATATCATATATATATATATATATATATATATATATATATATAGATAGATAGATAGATAGATAGATAGATAGATAGATGATAGATAGAGATATAGATAGATAGATAGATAGATAGATAGCTAGATAGATAGATATAGATATAGATATACACATATATATATACACACACACATACATACATACATACATTACATACACACACACACACACACACACACACACACACACACACACACACATACACATCAACTGGGACATGGAGGCTCGGTGGCTAAGATGCTGAGCTTTTGGATCACAAAGGACGGAAGTTCAGTGGTTTGAATCCCTAGTGCCATGTAACAGAGTGAGCTCCCGTTACTTGTCCCAGCTTCTGCCAACCTAGAAGTTCGAAAGCACATAAAAAATGCAAGTAGAAAAATAGGAATCATCTTTGGTGGGAAGGGAACAGTGTTCCATACACTTTCGGCATTTAGTCATGCTGGCCACATGACCATGGAGTCTTTGGACAGCGCTGGCTCTTCGACTTTAAAACAGAGATGAGCACCGCCCCCTAGAGTCGGGAACAACTAGCACATCTGTACAAGGGAAACCTTTACCTTAGAGATCTCAACATCCAACTCGTTTTGACGATCCTGGCTTAAATCTTCCACTGGAAATTTCCAGGTTGCAAAGGAAAAGAAACGTCTCCTTGTTAAAAAGTTTTTTCCCCTCCTTCTGTCAAACCAGGAACTTTCATATCAATTCAACTGGGGACCCCCTCAACCCCTTTTTCTAGAGGGCCCAGGCTTTCCACCTTATATGTTTTCCGAAAGCTTTGCAATGATTTTGCAACCCGATTGTATCGGGCTGGGCTGGGATTGGAAAATACAGAACTTGTGTACATAGTGGCTTTCTGGAAGGAAAAACACTATTTTGCTTGCCTTTTTTTCCCCTTTTTTCTTTTTGGTTCGAGGCCCGCATGAGGGATGCAACTGCTTATGGGGCCTCAGCTGTTTGAGATTCTCAGGAAAAGAGCTTATTTAGCCAGAGGGCTTAGATGGGTATCAGGTGACAGTTCAACCTTGTTTTGCTCGCTCGCTGGAGTCGGGCAAAGAAGGCGGCAGTCGGGCGTTGCTAAGGAACTGAATTCCCCACCTTATTTTTTTTTATTATTATTTCCCCACCCCACCCCCCCAGAATGGGAAATCTCCAGCAAGCTTTGAAATTCTGCTAAAGACAGAGGGGAATTATTTAACCAGGCCAGCCCAGGGGTGGGGGGGAATGGAGGGGACACGGATGTGCAGATTTGCAAAGCAGAAAAAGATGTTCCAGTCTTAATTTTCACGGGCAAGAAGCGTTATTAATAAATCAAGACCTCCCCTGTTTCCCCCTCCAGCAACTGAGAGCGAAAATGATGTTTAAGCCCGGGTAATTAAGGTTGGGGAGATTTGTTTGAGGATGGCTTTTTAACTGCCGTTTAACAGGGGAAGGGGGGGGGGAGGACTGCTAATAGGTATAAAGTGACATAATTTCTTGGATGAAGAAATGTTTGGGTTCTCCCCCTCCCCCCCAACCTGTAAGCTGATCAAATTACTCTCAATGGTCTTCCAGCCCTCCCTTTCAGAAAGCGATTGAGGAAAGCAGAAAAAGCATTTCTGTTCCAGTTTTTAGTTCTTAAAGGTGTTTTCCTAGCTCCGTGATGGCGAATCAATGGCACACCATAGGTGGTTCGTGGAGTCATATTTGGTGGCATGCCAGCCGTCAGCTCCGGCACGAACGCATGTGCCAGCCCTCTGACTTTTCGCCCTTCCAGAGGGCCAGGAGAGGCTGTTTTTGCCCTCCCCAGGCTTCAGGAAAGCATCCGGAGCCTAGCAAGTGTCGTGAGTGCATGGGGGGGGGGGTTGTCACGTGCTCATGCACAGCTGAGCGGGGGGAATTGAGTGGGTATGCATGCGCACGTGCAATTTTGGCAGGCCGTAAGAAAAAGGTTCGCCATCATTGCCCTAACCCCTCCAGAGATGGTGAGATTCAGCTTCCAGGCAGCTGTTGGCATACAGATAGTCCTCAATGTACGATCACGGTTGAGCCCAAACTTTCTGTTGCTAAGCGAGACAGTTAAGTGACCTTCGTTTCCATTTTACAACCTCTCTTGCCACAGTTGTTAAGTGAAGCCCTGCAGTTGTTCAGTTAGCGATAGGGTTGTTAAGTAAGTTGGATATGAGCTTGTTGATCAGAAAGGTCAACAGTTCGGCAGTTCAAATCCCTAGCGCCGGATAACAGCGTTCCATGCGCCTTCGGCCTTTAGTCATGCCGGCCACATGACCACGGAGACGTCTTCGGACAGTGCTGGCTCTTCAGTTTTGAAACAGAGATGAGCACCGCCCCCTGGAGTCGGGAACAACTAGCGTGCACGTGCGAGGGGAACCTTTATCTTTTTAGTCTAGAGAAGAGAAGGGCTAGGAGTTACCTGATAGCAATGCTCTAATACTTGAGGGGCTGCCACCAAGAAGAAGGGTACAATCTATTCTCCAAAGCACTTGAAGACAGAATAAAAAGCAATGGATGAAAACTAAACGAGAGAATCAAATTAAGGGGAATACTTCCTAACAGTGAGGACAATCAACTAGTGGATTCAGAAGTTGTGACTTCTCCAAGACTGGAAATTTTAAGAGATTGGATAACCCTTTGTCTCAAATGTTACAGAGTTTCCTGATTGAGCAGAGAGTGTTGGATATTCTCTTAAACATGAGCCAGCTGTGTGCGGCAGCAGCCAAAAAAGCCAAAGCAACTCTTGATTGTATAAACGTAGCCATAACATCTAAATCATGTGAAGTCTTAGTACCTCTTTATAAAGCCTTAGTAAGACTAAACCTGGAATCCTGCATCCCGTTTTGGTCACCACATTACAAAAAAGATATTGGGACTTTGGGAAAAGTGCAAAGAAGAACAAGGAAGATGATGAAAAACCTGGAGACTAAAACATATGAAGAACGGGTTGCAGGAACTGGGTTTGGCCAGTCTGGAGAAAAGAAGAACTAGGCGGGACGTGATAGCAGTCGTCTACTATTTGAGGGGCTGCCACAAAGAAGAGGGGCTCAGTTTATTTTCCAAAGCACCTGAAGGCAAGAGAAGAAACAAGGGATGGAAGCTAATCAAGGAGAGAAGCAACTTGGAATTAAGGAGAAACTTCCTCACAGCGAGGACAATTAACCAGTGGAACAGAAGTTGCCTCCACAACTTGTGGGTGCTTCATCTTTAAGAAGAGACTTGACAGCCACTTATCTGAAATGGTCTAGGGCAGTGCTTCTCAACCTTGTCAACTTGAAGGTGTCTGGACTTCAACTCCCAGAATTCCCCAGCCAGCGAATGCTGGCTGGGGAATTCTGGGAGTTGAAGTCCAGACACCTTCAAGTTGACAAGGTTGAGAAACACTGGTCTAGGGTCTCCAGCTTGAGCAGCGGGCTGGAGTAGAAGATCTCCAAGGTCCCTTCCAGTTCTATTCTGATTGATTGATTGACCTGCAAGGTGCTTTCCAGCTGTGTTATTCTGTTATGCAGGGACCAAATCAAGAGTTACAAGAGCAATGAAAAAGCGACTTATCTCCATTTTTCATACTTACAACTGTTGCAGCCTCCCCACTGTCATGTGACCAACATCTGGGTGCTTGGCAACTGGCGTGTATTTATGACGGTTGCAGCGTCCCAGAGTCACATGATCACCATTTGAAACCTTAGCTGGCTCCCCGACAAGCAAAACCAATGCGGGAATCCAGATTTGCTCAGTGACCGTATTAACAGCTGCAGGGATCCACTTAGCCACGCTGGTGAAATGGTCCGTAAAGTGGGGCAAAACTCACTTAACGCCCAACTCCCTTAGCAACTGCCCTGCAACACAACCCTTGGGCTCAATTGTGGTTGTGAGTTGAGGGCTGCCTGTAGTTGGCCACAGTTAATTACCTAATTACTTGCACAGGGAAGTTATATTATTTATGCTGTTTGTATATGGATTGCACCAGTGAAGCTAAAACCAATTTTGTTGTATATAAGATGTACAACGACAATGAAGGCTAAAATAAATGCTTTAGCTGAGCAGGAGCCCCTTCTGAACAAGACCCCATATTGTTCCTGTCCTTGTTTTATTTTATTTTGCTGAAATTCCTCCAATGAGAAATGACTTTCCACAGCATAACTGGGATGCGTGCAGAAACATGCCCGCAAAAGTAGAAAAACATTCCCTTAAAACAATCCACCGAAGCCAAAAAGGCTTAATGAAGCCCAGCTGCGAACCAAAAGCGAATGCAGGTATTCCTTGACTTATAACATACGTTGCTAAGTGAGTTTTGCCCCCATTTTACCACCTTTCTCGCCATGTTTGTTAAGTGAATCACTGCAGTTGCTACATTAGTAATACGGTTGTTAAGGAAATCAGGCTTCCCCATTGATTTTGTTTGTCTGAAGGCCGCAAAAGTGGATCACACTGCAACCGTCATAAATGTTGAGTCAAACATCTGGATCTAAATTACGTGACCACAGGGATGCTACAAGGGTCATGGGTGAGGAGAATGGTCCTGAGTCACTTCGCTCACTGCCGTTGTAACTTTGAACGGTCGCTAAGTGAACTGTTGTAAGTTGAAAAGTATGCCACCTGTAAAGTATATTACTCGGATACTTTAGAAAATGGGAAAAAAGTAAATTTCCCAAGAACTAGAGAGAGAAGTGCAACTTCTCCTCCTGTGGAGCAACGCCACTATTCAAGGATTGGTGAGACTTTGAAGAAGTAATAAGGAATTCCCACAGGAGGGAGGGAGGGAGAGAGAGAGGGACACAGAGTGGGAGAGAAGGAAAAAGAGGGAGTGAGGGAGAGGGTGAGAGGGAGAAAGACACAGGAAGGGAGAGAGAGGGGGGAGGCCGAAAGATGGAGAGGGAAGGAGAAACACAGAGGGGGAGGGGGAGAGACACAGAGGGGAGGGAGATGGAGAGAGAAACAGGGAGGGAAGAGGGTGGGAGGGAGAGAAAAGAGAGAGAGGGTGGGAGAGAGACAGAGAGGAAGAGAGGGAAAAAGAAGGAGCGAGTGGGAGGGTGGGAGAGAGAAAGACACAGGGAGGGAGAAGGGGAGAGACACAGGGAGGGAGGAGGAGAGAGGGTGGGAGGGAGAGAAAAGAGAGAGAGGGTGGGAGAGAGACAGAGAGGAAGAGAGGGAAAAAGAAGGAGCGAGAGGGAGGGGGGGAGAGAGAAAGACACAGGGAGGGAGAAGGGGAGAGACACAGGGAGGGAGGAGGAGAGAGGGTGGGAGGGAGAGAAAAGAGAGAGAGGGTGGGAGAGAGAGAGAGACACAGAGAGGGAGACAGAGAGAGAATCAGAGGGAGGGAGGGAGACACAGGGAGAGATG